AAAAGCAAACTAAAAGGACAGCTAGAGCAGGAGTGGAAACATAGAAATGAAGATCTCAAGGAGGGTTAGCAACAGGGGAGTGGGAGGAGGAGATGGGGGGAGAAGGTACAGAAAATAAGTAGCATAGACAGTAGAAAGAAAATAGATGGGGGGGCAAGAATAGCATGGGAAATATAGAATCTAAAGGACTTGAGACACATGGTCATAAACTAAAGGGGGGTAATGGTGGGAATGGGGGGTAGGGTGGAGGGGAATAGAACAACTGTAACAGCATAATCAATTTTAAAAAAATAAAATAAAATAAATGGCATTCTTGGCCAAAATTAATAGTCTGTGAATGCATAGGTTTATTTCTGGACTCTCAATTCTATTCCATATCTGTACGTCTAGTCTTATGTCAGTAACAGTCTTGATTACTGTAGCTTTATAGTAAGTTTTCAAATCAGAAGTATGCATCCTTCAACTCTGTTTTTTCCAAGACTGTTCTGGTTACTTATTCCTTGAAATTCCATATGAACTTTAAAATCAGTTTTTCCATTTAAGAGGAAAATGGCTATTGGAATTTTTTAAAAATACTTTATTTTTAAAGAGGGAGAGAAACATCAATGTGTGGTTGCCTCTCACATATCCCCTACTGGGGACCTGGCCCACAACCCAGGCATGTGCCCAAACTGGGAATTGAACTGATGACCCTTTCGTTTGCAGGCTGGCACTGAATCCACTGAACCACACCAGCCAGGGTAAGGCTACAGGAATCACATTTAACCTGTACATCACTTAGGGGAGTGGTGCCATCTTAATTGTATTAAGTGAAAGATGACTTAATTTTAACACTGAAATTATGAGTGCCATTATTAACTTTACTAGGAAAAATGCTGCTTTGCAGTTGAGGCAAGCAAATGGAAGATTTGGTCTCAGCAAATCTGCATGGAATCTCCCCTTAAACCCATCTAGCAAAATTAATAGAGCTATATTACACTGAAGGGAGCAGTGGCAGACAAGAGAGAAATGTGGCATACTCTAGAATGACTTCTGTCCACTTTGACATGTAATAATTATTTCCCCTCCTGATTCCAACAATTTTGGCAGTGTAGGAAACAGGATTATACAAGAGTAAAAAGCACTGGGAAAGCAGACAACCCTTCCCTTGTTCAATCTGCCCTCTTCCCAACCCTTGCCAAGATAAATGAGAGGGAGCTAGGCAAATTTTGGTTTTGATTTATAACCAAACCACAGAACTGGAACAACGGCCTTTCACTTCTTCCACAAAACTGTTTAAAACATTAACTCAATGTAAGATGCCAAAAGTTTTCAAAGGAAATATTCCAGGAGGGTAAGGAAGTGACAATCATAGCATATTCAACTTTTGCTTGTTTCCCCTGGACCCAAAAAATGATCTACTACTATGGGCCTGGAAAGAGCCTCTACTTGAAATACATTGTCTTAATTTTTTCACACATTTCTGCATCCATTTTCTTTCTGATAAACCTTGGAAGGCTTATCAGAAGCCTTGGAAGACAAAAGGATAATCCTAACCTTTTTAAAAAAAGATTTTATTTATTTATTTTCAGAGAAGGTTAGGGGAGGAAGACAGGGAGAGAAACATTTATCAGTTGCCTCTCGTATGCGCCCTTACCAGGAAGTGAACCTGCAATCCAAGCATGTGCTCTGACCGGGAATTGAAAATGACCTTTTATTTCATGAAACGCTCAACCAAGCCACACCAGTCAGGGCAATCCTGACTTTTTAATATATTAAGTGTTCCTTCATGTTACTAGCTTGCGTGATTTAGCAGTGCAGCTCTGCCACAAATGCTGCAGTATTCCCAATAAAATAACATGGATCTAATAACATTGTTTCCGGACGCCTCCTTTAGTTTAGTCACATTGAGTATGACTCCTGCCTAGTTCTAGTGGAATAGTGCAAACCTCAGACTTCTCCTGAAGCTAAATCACAATAAGGTCCAGGTCAAAGGGGCTCCCATGGTTGACCTTGGTCCAAAGAGAAAGCTGCCCCAGAACTTTGTTCCTTAAAGGGAAGAATCATGTCTCATTCTAAATCCCAATTACCCTTCACCCAGTTTTTTTTTTTCCTGAGGTTTAAGTGCACTTTTATTAGAAAGGGAAGCTGTCAACTAAAACAGCAGCAAATGAAGAATAAAAAGGAACTCCCCTGTTGCTACAGATATACAAGCCCTCCACTGTATGACACAGGAGGCATTTCAATGTGTGACTCCTAGCCCAGAAATGCTGAATGCTTTTTCATTCAATCTAATACTTCTGGATTCCTACCTGAAGGGAAAGTTGTCTACTACTAAAAGGAAGCCCCCAAAGCAGAGCAAGGGAGAGAATGTAGAAATTAAGAAGTTATGTAAAACACTCCTTAAACTGTAATTAACCACCTTTTCATATCTTCACAGTAACACAAAACAGTCATTTACAGAACTGGTTCAGATTACTTTAATACCAGATACATTTTTAGTCCTCTATGTGTTTGGAAGTTACTTATGTTTATGTGAAATGAAGCTATTAATACTTTTGTACAGCAGTAACTGCACACCAGGAAGGCCAAGACAAACACAAATCAAGAAATGGGAGTTTTCCCAAAGCTGCAGTGTGGAAAGACTATAAACAGTTGATTCCATACACATGAATGGGTTTCTTTGCTCTAACAAACCCAAATGGAATAAGGAATGGAGATGTGTATAAAGGTTTCTGGAGGGAAGAAGGACAACGCCCTGTACATAGTTAGTTTTCTGCCCATTCTGCCATGTCACATTTTTCTCCGGCACTGTCTGAGGTCCATAATGTGAGGGTGTCCCTAAGCATCTGCATGATGAGGGTGCTGTTTTTGTATAGGTTTCCATTCAGTGTATGGAGTTCTGCAATGGCCTCAACAAAAGCCATTTTAGCCAGTGTGCAGGCAAGCTCTGGGTTATTCAGGATCTCATAGTAGAATACAGAGAAGACCTTACTCTCTGGATTAGTTATGTTGGCTATTAAATACTTATCCAACAATTCCAGGACCGTTGTGCAGATGGATGGCAGCTCCAACTCCACTATCTCCCCATAGTCCTCAATCAGTTGCAACTTCCTGTGTAAGGTCCTCCAGGTGGACCAGTGGCCCCCAACTATGTTCTTGTAGGCCACCAAGAGCAGGCTACACTCCTCGTTGGGGATTGCAGTTCGATTCCCAGTCAGGGCACATGCCTGGGTTGCAGGCCAGTTCCCAGCAGAGGACCCAGAAGAGGCAAGCATACATTGATATTTCTCTCCTCTCCTTCCCTTCCCCTCTAAAGATAAATAATTTTTTAAAAAACCTTTTTAAAAAGTAAATAAATAAACACATTAATTAATTAAATTTTTAAAAACCTCTATGGTTAGATTGCAGAAGAGGAAGGTTTTCTTACACACTTCTTAAGAGATTTAAATCCTAAATTAGACTCAGGCCCTTAATTTTCAATTTGGAGAAAAATAAGTGCCACCTTTGCAACTGTCCTGCACATCATCCCAGCTGCATCCCTGTGCTTTAATCATTTAAAAAAATTTTTTTTCTGTATCTTATGTTTTGACATCATAAAAATCTTGCTGGTGGGAAGACTGCCCTTTCCAGGGCTAATTCCTAAAGATAGTAATCAACTTACTTGGAAGCAGCCTCTCAAATGCAAAATAATCAACTCCTTTAAGTCTCACAGATCAAGCAAATATTACCCCTGCCCTAAATCATCTCAGGACCAGGTACATGGCAACTAGAAACCACTGCTACTGCCCTAGACCTGCCAAAATTACTCAAACTAGCTAGTCCTAAAACATTTACCCTGCCCTGCCTTGCCTTTCTCACAGAACAAAGGGTCTGACCTAAGCTTTCCCCTAGCTCCTGCTTCTGCCTCCTGGACAAAATCATTCTGCCGCGTGGCGTGCCTCTTCTCTCCAGAAATGTAATACCTTCTTCTTTCAATGGCATTGGCCTTTCCATGTTGTCACTCAGGCACCACTATAAATTAAAATTCTGTCTCTAAACATGAGAGACACCTCCCCCTACCTATTCCTCTGTGCTGCCTACAACTCTTGTGCTAACTGATCCAATCAATTGGAAATTATATTACAAACTAGCTTAGGTTTCCAAAACCAAGTAATATCTCCTAAACTACTTCATAGGGAAAATGTTCTTGGGCCCTGCCTGAGTAGCTCACTTGGTTAGAATGCCATCCTGATACACCAAGGTTGCTGGGAAAGAAATAGGTCTTGAAAGTTCTATTAGCATTTTGCACTCAGCACTCAGAACCAAATGTAGTACAACCCAGCAATTACTCACCTAGTTGTATGTCCAAGTGAACTAAAAACACAAAACTTGTACATGAATGTTCACCACAGCATCATTAATAATAGCCAAATACAGAAACAGCTCAAATGTCAATCAACTGACAATAAACAAAATGTGGTACATCCATGCAAGGAAATATTATGCAGCCATTAAAAGAAATAAATCGATTCACGCTACAACATGGACCTTAAAATCAGTATGTTCAGTAAAAGCCAGACAGAAAAGACCTCATATTGTGTGAATGAACACATTTATATAAAATGTACGCACTCGGCAAATCCTCAGAAATAGAAAGCACATTAGTGATTGCTAGGGGATGGAGTTGGGGGAATGGGGAGGGAATGCTAATGGTACAATGATTTCTATTTGTACCGTTACAAATGGGGTTATAAAATGTTCTGGAATTAAGACAGTGATGACGGTTGCATAACTTTGTGAATGTCCTAAAAACCACTGAATCATACATTTTTAAAAGGGTGAATTTTATATGTGAATTGTATATATTTAAAAAACCTGTATGTATTCTCTTCCCACCAAACTTACTCTTTCTGTATTCCATTATTCCAGTGCTCTGGCCAGAAACCTACAAATTCTAACACATAATTAGGTCATGGCGTTTCAAATGCCTTACTATCTCTCCATTCCAACTGCTAATTCAGGACACCCTCATTTCTCACCTAGATTATAATGGCCTCCTAACAGGGCTCCAGTCTTGCTACTCCAGATCCATTTTCACACTGCAAGTAAAACTCTTTAAAATCAAAATCTTCAATGGCTTCCAATGACTCCAGGTTGAAGTCCAAAACCTTAACGTGATTTGTAAACTACCTTAAATGGTGGCCAGTGGCGAACCCCTCCAGCCAGACTGAAGACCACGGGTATCACATCGGCCTCGCCACGCACCGGATGGTGCTAACACCTCCCAACCTCTAGGGCTCCACCTGTTCGCTACCGTCCCCAGAAAGGAAGGTCTCCCTCCCCGGTAAGCCTTATCTGGTGCGTCTCCAAATTCCTCCTCCCTCCGTTTACTCGTTGGTTCCTCAGGCAGGTGTACTGGAAGGGCCACCATTGAATATGCAAACATTTCCTGTGTAAATCGTTGTGGACCCAAAATTCAACTTAAAACTGCGCCGGTGTCCTGAACTCACCCCGACTTTTCCTCAACACTTAACAGACTTTCCCGGACGCCACTGCTGAAGCCGCAGACACCATTCGGGTCTGCGGCCACACAGCTCTCTAAAACACCTCGCGACGCACCTCCTTCCTATGCCTCACGCCCCCCGAAGACGCCCCCCCAAGACGGCCCCCGTTTCCCGCCTAGGCCGCGGAGGAATATGGGAAGCAAGCCTCCCTAAATGCTCTGAGCCTGCGCCAACGCCTGCGCAGACGCAATTCTCTGCAGGATGGGGCGGGGTTGGGTAGCCGGGTAGCGCATGCGCAGGCTTGAGGCTCTCCGTTGAGACGGTGCCGCGGCGGCGCCGGAGGTAGGAGGGGCTGGGCTTTGGGGCAAAGAGTATGCACCCGGGTATTGGAGATCCAGCCATCTCGGGCCTTTCCCACCCCCTTCCAGCCGCGGTGTAGAGGCAGGAGCAGTGCTTGGGTCGAGGAGGCCTGGGCTGCCTGAAGGAAGGAGGGTGGGGGGGAATCCGGATACCCACGGAGTCATTGCTCGGGGGACAGTCTGGCGATCGGAATTAGTCGGCAGAATCTTTGGCAGCCCTTCCCCAGGCTGAGCCTCCTACCCATTTCCTGTGTGTTACCGGGTTGAGGGGAACGGAATGGTCTGTCCCTCACGTTTCCATTCATTCAGAGGTCGCTAGGAGCCTGGCGCAGCCGTAGGTACCAAAGCTGAGTAGGCAAAAGTCGCCGGCCCTCTGGAAACTTGAGGTCTCGTAGGACCTGCTACTTCGTTAAGCAAATGCTTATTGAGTATGTACAGGAGATGAACTGTCTTAGCAACAGAGGTGTGGAGACTGCAGTGTGGAGGGTGGAATTTGCCATAGCGGTCCACATCCAACAGGATAAAATTGTTCGGTTAGCTTAATGTTCCAAACGCTAGGATACAGATCTCTGCTGAAGCCTCCTCTCCCACCCCAGCTTTCTCTTCGCTCCTATTAAACCAAACTCTTTGCAGTTAATTAATTTGACAGGTAATTGACGAGCACTTTTTAAAAGTCAGGTGCCTACCAGCCAAAGAGAATACATAAGATATATGAATATATGAGAATACAGTAAGATATATGAATCTGTGTGCCCTCTTTAAGTTTTGAGCTAGTAGGGGGCAGATAAGTAAATGAATAAGAGTTGATATCCTGAAACCATAATGCCTGGGTTTGATCCCTGCCCTGCTTTCAAGAGCTGTGTGAATTTGAACCAGTTCCTCATTCTTATGCTTGATTCCTTGCTATAAAGAAGGGATGACAATAGATTCTACCGAATAAGATTGTTGCAAGGATTAAATGAATTAGACTTGTAAAGCAGTTTCGCAGATGCCTGGCATATAATAAGCATTCAATAAATGTTATCTATTACATACGATTACAACTTGTGATAAGTGCTATTGTGAAAACTATGTGATGAAAGAAAATAATAGGGATGGAGAGAATGTACTTAGAGGATGAGGGGAAGCACCTCTAAGGAGGTGACATGGAAGATGTGAAAGAGTCAGGCATGCTAAGTCGATTGTAAGGCCTGTGTCTGCCTAGCACAGGAAAACTAGATGATTAATTGGATTACTTGGACAGTGGAGACTACATTAGTGAATTTGAAATGAACTTTCTGCCACTGAGTCATTCAATTTTGATTTTTGAGCCCCACTAAACTGTGCTGATGTCAATAATCAGGCCCATAAGGCCTAACACTTGCATTTGGACAGCATTCTAGTCACCTGAGTTTGGAGAACTCTTGCTGGGGTGAGAGGATGGAAAAAAGTGGCCTTTTTTGACTTGGAAAAATTGATTGTATCAATGAAGGATGAGCCTCCTGTATTCTTACCTTTTATTTGTTCCTGTCTCCTGAGTGTTCAAGAGCATATTCATTGTCATTCTCCCTCTCTCATTTTGTTGCCTGCTGATAGAGCTTCTTATAGCTAAAGGCCTTGGACAAGCATAGACCTAAGAGATAGTTTTTCTGGATTTGGGAATCATCATGTTTTTGTGGTGACTGCACTTCATGGGATTTATTCTCCAGATTTCAGTAAAAACAGTACTCTTCCAAGATGCCCAAGTTTTTCTGTCTGTGACAGAACATGCTTTGATGGGTGTTTAGACAGCCCCCATGCCCACATTGTGTTGTGTTGTCCTATAGGGTGATGGGTCCATGTTAACCAAGCTACACCGAGTACTGCCAGGGGTATTGTTACTCCCATACTCTGCATGCTCTTATTCCTTCTCAGAAGAAATAGCACAAAGTGACAGTATCTGTCTAACTATACCTAGATGCTTTTGGTTTTCCACAGATGTGAAATTAAATGAACCAAGTGTGCTTTATCACCATGGAGATCTTGGACAATGACCTGAGAATCAACTTCATATGTGTTCTATCTTGGAGGCTTCTGTTGGGCAACCAAACCTCTCAGATGTGAACTTTAACAGAGGGAAGCTCTAAACATGCTGTTTAACACGGGATCAAATTGAAGGAAAATTTAAAAACTAATTATGGAGGGGAAAACAGTACTTTTTTTCTCAGTTGTGCAGACTCTCCAGATATCTCAGTGAGATTTAAAGAAGAACTCCAGTGAAGCTGTGATTCTGAATAAGGTCCAGCTAGGCTCATTCTTGGGCCCCCAGATTGACCCTCAGTGCTCTGAAAACCACTCTGAAAGCCTTAAAACTGGTCAGATGATGGATGAGTCAGATGATGATTTTAAGGAACTCTGTGCCAGCTTTTTCCAAAGGGTGAAAAAGAATGGCTCCAAGGAAGTATCAGGGGAAAGGAAGACAAAAAAGGCCTCGAACAGCACTCAGATAACAAGCAGACCAAAAAAAGCCAAACCAACTGCTACCAAGAGCAAAACCCTTCAAGGCCCCAGGGAGAGGAAGACCCGAACTGGCAGCCAGGCTGCAAGGACGAGAAAACAAGGGGCACCCAAGCAGCAAGAGAATGAACCAGCTCCCCCTGAGAATGGGGAAGGAAGTATGCCTGCTTCTTCTGTGCTCCGGGAGAGTGCGTGGAGCTCCCAGACAGGTAACCCAGCCAGAAACACTGCCAGAACTTCCAGAGAGGAAACCAGTGGTGATTTGTAGTATTTTAAACCAGGTGTTGGAATATTTTCTGCAAAATGCCAAATAGCACGGTAAAATTTTTTGGCCTTGCGGGCCATATGGGCTCTGTCACGACTCCTCAGTTCCCTAGACAATATGTGAATGAATTGTGTTCTAGCAGAACCTCATTTACAAAACAGGCAGCCAGCACAAGGACCGTAGTTTGCCTTCTCCTGTTTTAAATAATAGTCATAAAAAATAGAATTCCTGTGTGAGTTTTCCACATGATTATGTTTGGGGCCCTCTTCCAGTTTCCCATTAATGTTTACATTATATAGTTTACTCACATTATGTATGCGTTACATACACATGAATATATTGCTGCTTTTCCCATTTTCCCTAAATCATTCCATAGTGGGTACCATATGAGCTTAAGGTCCAGGAGAATCCTCACGTTCTTTCTTTTCCTTTTCAAATACCTTTTTATTTCTCCCGCCTTTTTTGTTGTTGTTGTCGTTCATTTGTTTAAAGCAGCTTTCTTACTGTGCTGTCCTTGATGTACCTAACCATATGCTTAGCCTATATTCATGCAGAACTGAAAACCAGCCTCGCATATCTAATACAGAACAAGGTCTCTGGGCTTCAAACTTCTGTTTCTAAGTTTTTCTCACCTTCACTTCCTGATCTTAAATACGTAATATTTTTTGCTCTGGGCAGCTGGCATGACCTCTGAATGGAGTGGTGGGTGGTAAAGGCTTAGCTCCTAGATGCTATTGTAAGTCTTCAGTAATGTTACCAAAATGCTGTTGGTCCTTGATGCTCCTCACTGAGAGAAGCATGGCTCTGAGTCTAGTGAAAGGTACACATGATTTCCACAGAAAACCGCACCCCCACGCATACCTGCAAAATTGACATACAGCTTCAGGGGCTTCATGGATCCGCACTGGGGGCCATCCACCAAGTTAAAGGGGAACTTCTGACCTAAAAAGATATACATGTTTGTCATTAATATTTCTTTAATAACAGCTTTATAGAGATATTCATTTTGTGTACAATTTACTCTTCTGATGTGTACAGTTTAATGGTTTTAGTATGTTCACAGTTGTGCAGTCACCTCTACTACCTGATTTTAAAATGTTTCATCACCCCCAAATAAGCCCCATAGTCGTTAGCAGTCCCTCTCCATTCCCTCTCCTGTCATAGACCTTTAGGACAGGTACAGTTCTCTTACCACAAACTGAGGTTACCAAGAGATAATCAGTCCTGTTCACATTTGAGGGTTAAATCTAAACTAGTTGGTAAAGGACCCCGATGAAACTTATGTCTAACCTGTATTTGGTAGCGGAGTGTTTTGTTTCTCCACCTAGAACGGACACGTGTGAACATTTTCTCCTCAGGGGCTACTCCTAACAGCAACTCCCAGCCCCCTCCTCCCTGTCTGACTGCAATGGTGCCAAGTCCCTCCAAACCGCGGGCGGCTGAGGTGGTCCTGCAACGCATGCAGCAGTTCAAGAGAGCAGACCCCGAGCGTTTGAAACATGCTTCAGATGGGTGCTCCTTCCAGGCTGCACCTGAAGAAAATGTCCCAGAGGGCCCTCCAGAGGCAGTGATGGCGGGGCACGGTATGATGGGGGTTTTCTGTATTCCCAACAGGAATAAGTTCTAATTCTGGAGGAAGGGGAACAGGAGGGAGCCAACCTTCACTGTATTTCTACTGAGGGTGGGCTCTGCCTGGCATTCTGCCTTTGCCGTTTCGTGTCATCTGGCCAGAGAACAAAATAAAAGGTCCCTGGGACATTACTCACTTAGTTTCTTTGTCAGGTTACCTCTTTCTCTTGTTTTAATTTTGACTTTTTAATTTTTTTCATGTAGAAAAGTCAAAGAATATTTTATAACAAACCTTCTATGTTCTCAGCCAAAATTTAACAGTTGTTAACACTTTGCCATATGTTTTTTTATGTCTCTATAAAGGTATGTGCTTGTTCCGTACCCTGTGAAAGTAAACAATAGGCATCATGGTGCTCCACCCCTGGGTTCTCCATAAGCACAGTAGCATTTAGTGCACCTATTTCTGTAATGTTGCCTGATATCTGTTTCATAGTCACATTTCCCCAACTGTCCTAAGAATGGCTTTGGTAGCTGGTGTCCAAGGGTTTGTCAGAACTATAAGTTCATTCATTATAAGATCTCTTAAGAGATCTTTAGATCTCTTAAGATCTAAAGCCTAGAACAGTCCCCTTGTCTTGTTTTTGTCTTTGTTTTAATGGTATTTTTTGAAGAGTCCAGGTAATTGTCTTAAAACCTACTACTTTCTGGATTTGCTTGACTGTTTCTTCATGATGTCATTTAACCCTTTCCTGCAACCTCTGTGTTGCATCGCCCTAAGGAATCTACAGGTCTCATTAGCTCCAGGTTAAGCAGTTCGGCATCAGTGGTTTGCAGGTTCTGTGCACCACCCCAAGAAGCACATAATGTCTGGTGGATCCAGTCTTTATCCCCTAAACAGTATGAATTCTTATTTTTGATGAAAATATATAAAAGGAAAAGGAATAGGAAGAAACTGTGTTGACAGGTGTATGGCTAATGAGCGTGTGGTCTCATGGGACTGCATTTGCATATTTCACCCAAGAGAACTGATGATTCTCAGGCTACCCCAAAGGTCCACACAAGCAGCAAGGTGACACCTGCTGTGGCATCAGCCCTTGAGCACCCAAGGGGTGCAGAGGAGTTGCTCAGCCGTATGTGAGCCAGTGCCCCTCCTACACGTGGCTCAGTTGCTTCCATATACACATCATACCCAGTAATGCTCAGGAGAGAGAAACCACTGCTTCCCTAAAAAAAGGGGGGGGAGGAGACACAAAATAAACCATGATGCATTTCTGTCTTTGGTGGAAAGAATGATATGCCATTAGTAATATTCAAGAATTGGGAATTTATGAAGTTTTCAGGGCATATCCATCATGAATGCCAAGGATCTGCTTCAGCAATATCAGACATGACGGGGTGGCGGAGGTAGGCATGCTACCTTGGGAGCCACCTCAAGGCATTTCACTCTGACCTGGTTCTGCCAGGATGGGTAACAAAGGTCATAGCAGTGGGAAAGGTTGAACTTTGAAGAGAAAACTTGGATTTGTTGGAATAGAGCCTTATAAACCTGGCATGTCCATGGCAGCTGACTTTTGCAGAAATGGGAAAAATGAAAGTTTTCTAGGACTTGACATTCAACGAGTGGTCCTGGATGTCCAGTGTCAGCCTTATGGGGAGTTGTTAGAAGTTCAGGAGCTCAGGCTCCACCTAGACCTTCGTAATGTGAACCTTCATTTTTAGCCAGGTCCCCAGGGATTTTTACATGCAGTAAAGTGTGAGAAGTGCTGTTGAAGGAGCCCTGTTTCCTGCCCCATTTCACTGGATGGCGCCTGCCATGAGGCAGAGTTTCTCCGTGCAGCACCCGCTGTCCTCGTCTTGCGAGATCTGACAGATGTGCAGAGGTCTGAGGATGAGCTCATCCTCATGGACCTTTGTGCTTCTCCACAGGGTCTGGGCCCTGGCTCCCTGCCACAGACAGCGACGGTGTGGTGGCCTTGGCCCTGCAGCAGGAGTTTCGGCAGGAACAGGCCTCCGCACATGATGACAGCCTGGAGGCGAAGGGGTTGTTCTTCTGCCAGATCTGTCAAAAGAATCTCTCGGCCATGAACGTGACACGGAGGGAGCAGCATGTGAACTGGTAGGAGCAGCCCAGCTGTCACCTTTCCCGTGCGTGTGACCAGGACCAGGGGCCCCCATGGCTGTGGGGGTAATCTTGAAACACCTTACAATAGCCCCTCAGAGTTAGTGTCAACCTGCCCTTTTTATTTTTTAACAGGTTTATCGAGATATAATTCACATACAATTAATGCATTTAGAATGATCAATTCAATGAATTTCATTTAGTAATACTCACAGTTATACAACCATCACCATAGTCAATTTTAGAATATTTTAGTCACACCAAAAAGAAAACTTGTACCCATTAGCACACGCTCCTCATGTCCCCCTCCCCCAGCCCCTGGCAATGACTAATGTGCTTTCTGTCTCTATCGATTTGCCTGTTCTGGACGTAAGTGGAATCAGACACTGTGTGGCCTTCATGTGTCTGGCTTCCTTCATTCAGCTTAGTGTTTTCAAGGTTCCCCCATGTTGTAGCATGTGTCTGTGCTTCTTTTTCATGGCTGAGTAATATACCATTGTATGGATTGACTACATCTTGTTTCTCTGCTCATGCATTGATGGACTTTTCCATTGTTTACCATTTGGGTATTGTGAATAGAGCTGTTATGAACATGCATTTCATGTGTTGGCTTAAGTATATTAAGTATACCTCTTAAAGAGATGTATTAAGTATATCTCTTTTCATGTGTTTTGGCTACATCTTGTTTCTCTACTCATGCATTGATGGACTTTTCCATTGTTTACCATTTGGGTATTGTGAATAGAATGTTATGAACATGGATTTCATGTGTTGGCTTAAAGTATCTCTTTTCAGGTCTTTTGGCTATACAAGTAGGAGTGGAATTGCTGGATCGTATGGTGACTCTGTGATTGATTATGTTTAATCCGTCCTTGCTTTCTTCAGTCACCTTTGCTAACAGATACTTAAATTCCGTATCTGGAGGCTGACTATGGGTTGCACGGAGGGACTGGCTTGGGGGGAATAAGATTTGGCCCACAGCATGTCCTTGTACATGTGGACCCACCGGGGAAGGCGGTTCTCCTGTGTTAACTGTCTCCCTTCAGGTGCTTGGATGAGGCTGAAAAGGCCCTGAGACCTACTGCACCTCAGATCCCTGAATGCCCAATTTGTGGCAAGCCATTTCTCACCCCAAAGAGCAGAATCAGTCACGTGAAAAAGTGTGCAGTGAAGATGGAGGTTGGCCCCCAGCTCCTGCTCCAGGCCGTGCGGCTGCAGACAGCTCAGCCCGAGGGGGCCTGCGGCACACTGGCACAGGCATCGAGGTGAGTCAGATGGAAAGGGAACAATCAAAGTAGTCTGATTTGTTTTTTAAAAGAAAAAAAAAACTTTATGTAGTGTTGGCACACAATAGAGCCCTCTTTGATTCTGGAAATCAAACATGAGGAGGAAATCAGTCACGGCCTCCACAGGGATTGTGTAGGGGAAAGATTCTGCATCCTGCATGGCTTTGAAATGGTCCACGTGGGTATGTCTGTGTCTGTGGAAATGACCAGTTGGACTAGTTTTCTTGAGATCCTTCTCTCTGAGAGTTTTCCATTTCCAAGGCCCTGCGGTCAGTGCCCTCCAGAGGAGCTAAGAATTTGGTAATTCCCTTTACCACATCTGTTTTATGTGTGGTACAACCTCGCTTGCGTCTCAGCGTAGTCCAATTTTCATACTGTTAATGTAAGATTCCTCAGCATAGTTCAAAGAGTTGGTGAGATGGAACCATAGGCCTTTACAAAACATTTGCATGGATTAAAAGCTTAAGTGTTAAAATAGGAGGCCCAGCGGATGACACAAGTCTTCAGCATGCAAACCACAGGCACACAGGTGGTGGAGGGTCAGCTTTGTGCTGCATTGTGCCTGCTACTATGGGTGCCAGGGTAGACCCCAACGTTACAGGGAACCCGGACGGCTCTAGCCCTGGACTGCTGTGGGTTCAGGATTTCTTGGACAGCTGTCAAGAGCAAAGGGAATGCCAAAGGCGGTTTGTTTGTGCTGGCCACTGCCTTGCACATGGGTTCTGGGCCTGTGAGCTGGGTCTGTGCTGAGATGGGGAGGGCAGAGGCTGAGTCTTCGCTGGTGAGTCTGTCTGCATTTTCGCATATCAGCACTATCTAGCATTGTAGACTCGGAAGCCTTAAGCCTGAGAATAGACGTTACCTAAGCGATTACTTGCCTTTTGCCAGGACCACACTGAATCTACCTGCTCAGATAAAATAAATCTGCTTTTCAAATACCTGCAAGAAATGAAACAAGGTGTGTGAAGGTTCTTCTAGAAGGCTGTTAAAATAGAAAGCTACAAATGGATTCTCTCACTGAAACTTTGAGCCTCCCCTACCTTAAGGCCAAGCCCGGGGTGTTTGGAACTCTGGGATGGTCATGACTCCCTGGCCAGGGCACACGTGCTGGTCAGAGCACCCCGCTCACCTCTACACCCCTCACCTGCTTTCATCAGGGCCCAGGCCCTGCCTGATGGGTCCAGAGGTGCAGCCTACACAATGTCAGAGCCCCAGTAGGTTGGGGTGCCTTTCCCTTTTGGAGGCTGTGGTTATTGGAACTTAGAACTGAATTAGGGTTCGCTTAGATCACCTGAGATGACAGCTGAGATTCTGGAGCCATCACTGGCCCAGTGGAGAGCATGAGATTTTGTGAAAGCCACAGGTGTTTCCAGAATTCCCTACAGCTGCAGGGAAGGTGATCTTGGGATTGCTGTTGGTTTCTTTCTCGCGTTTACACTTCTGCTTCTTGCCCAGCTTGTTGGGAGTCAGCGGGCAGTCTAGGTTCTCTCCAGCCAGAAAATCTTTCAGTAAATCTCCTCCAAGCCAAACGAGTCACTGTATGTTGGCCTCTGAGCTCGCTGACCACTTTGGTGATCCAAACTGAGAGGCCCTTCCTTCAGGCCTTGGGCAGAGGCACTGCCCTGCAGCCCCTGTAGGAGGGAAGGAATCCTTTCTGTTTCATGTGTGGTACAGCCACACTGTACCATGTGTGGTACAGCCAATGTGTCCAGGACCACCTAAGGGGCATCTGAAGTATGAATGGGCAGAAGTTGGGAGAGTCCGGGGTGCTGATGCGGAGCCATCGAATATTGACTCAACCAGAAGGGCCTGGCCACATCTAGGGTGTGCAGGTACGACACTGCCGCCCCAACCTGGCTGGGCAGAATCACGCAGCAGGACCCAGACCCTTCTGTGCCTGGACTGGGCTGAACTTTTGGCCCAGGATTGTGTGAGCTTGTGTGAGGCACGGAGTGAGCACAGTGAATTCCCAGAGCACTTGATGCCTCTGTCTGGAGGGTCCACATTTACCCGTTTTCTCTTCCCTTAACAGGAGAAAGGGTCCAGCCCCCCTCTGATCCCGTGGTGACCACCTCAGAATAGGATGTGCTCACAACTCTGGCTGTCACTAACCTTTCTGTCTGGCTGCCTTTTAAGCTTCAGCAATCATGTTGGAGGTCTGAAAAGGAAGGGAGCCCCCAGGAAGAAGGAGCCACAGAAGAGGCGGAAGGTCAGTGAGCCTGAGGTGCTACCAGAGGACCTGCAGGTGGCCATGGCTCTGTCCCGGTCGGAGATGGAGCAGGCGGCCGTGCCTGCGGTGCTCACACTGGGAACTGCTGTTTCTGAGAGGAAAAGACTGACAACAGGTACATGTGTCCACAAGTGGTGGCTCCAGGGGAGCCTCGCCTTAGTGCCCGTGGCTGAGGGTTACTGCCAGGCCTCAGGTTATGTGGATGACAGTTATTAACTGTCACTTCTCTTTCTCTAGAGAAGAAGAGTCGCAAGAAGAAAGCACCCCTTTCTCCACCCCAGTTGTTAGTCCAGGACTCGGAGACCACAGGAAGACAGATTGAGGATCGTGTGGCCCAGCTCTTTGTGGGAGAGGAAGTAGAGTTGTCCAGTACGCCACCACTTCCTGCGAGCAGACTTTTAAAGGAAGAGCTAGAAAAGGCCAGCAGGTGTCTGCAACCACCTGAAGGGAAGCAGAATTTTCTGTGGGAGGGCAGCGCCCTGACTGGGGCCTGGGCCCTGGAATCCTTTTACACGGCAAGCCTGGTGCCTCCCGTGGCGCCCCAGCAGTCACAGTCAGCCAAGGTGGGCCCTCCTCTCCAGACCCTTGTGGCTGGGCTCTGGGTGGGGCGGGGAGCTTTTGGCAGTCCTAGGATTACAGCACTGGGGATCTACAGTTGGGGGGACAGAAAGTTCTAGAAGGAGGGACAGGGAAAGGAGGAAGCCTAAGGGTGTGGGCCATAGCGTGTTTCCTTTGGCAGTGATTAGATGGCTCTCCTGGTAAGAACAGGGAGGGCCACTGGGTCCCAAACATACTGTGTTCCTGCAGTTTGTTCAACATGCACGATCCCAGGCCCCTTCCCAGAGGGCTGACGCGGTCTGCCCGTGATGGGGCTCAGGAACCAGACAAGCCTGATGCAGGTGGCCCTAGAGTCAGTATTTACTTGCTTGAGGCCACTTAGATGACATTAAGGAGACAGGGCCCCCCAGGAATCTCTCTGAAGATGTGGATGCCACAGGCGTGGCCTCTGCCATGACAGAGAGGCCTGCTGACAGATGGTGATGAAGCAAGGCTTCCCGGGGCTCCTCTGGGGTGGCTGGTACCATCAGGGGCCGCCTGGGTGGTGGGTGCTGTGGCAGTCACACGGTCACTCCGACTTCTGACTTCTTTCAGGGTCTCACGCAGGAGCCCGTGCTGCCACGAGTGTCACCTGACCAGCCACAGCCAGGTGTGCACATGCCGCCTGCTCTCCACAGCACCTGTCCCAGAAACCTGCCACCCTCTGCCAGCCAAAGGGAATACCAGGCCCTGCAGGACCTCATGGACCTGGCACGAGAGGGATTGAGCAGCAGCCAGTTGCCCAGCAGCGGGGCCCTGGCTGACTCTGGGGGAACCAACGGTGAGACACAGGATGGGACACGTGGGCTGCCCCGCCCTCTGGGCCCTCGCCACCCTGTGACCAAGACCGTGAGGCAGCTCAGACTTAAGGTTCCCTGGAGTGTCCCCGTATGATGGGGAGAAATGGTAGTCTCTGTAGGTGCTTTCATTTTTTTTTCCTCAAAGGTGAATGTGACACAGGTAAATATCACCATTTCCTTAAACTTTAACCAAGGATAGAGCCATTTGGCCAGAGCAAGTGATGGGTAGCCTAACTCTGTTCATTTTACTGCTTGTGTTTCTCTCTGTTGGAAGGGGGTGGTGGTAAAGGTGGTTTGTGGGCATCACTTTCACTGAAGGAGTCCAAGGCCCCTCTGGGGTTGGCTCAGCCCACAGTTGATGCTCTGGAGGCTGACGTTGCCAAGAGGTAATGTTCTTTTAACCCGTGAATTCTCTCAGGGATGGATCTGCCCGGTGGCCTTCCACTGACTGGGTTTGTCCTGCCAGCTGAGGAGCAGCACCTGGAAATGGGCGGCCAGGCTTCGGTAAGGACCTCTCTGTGGGGCCCGGCCCTGCTCTGGCTCTAGTCCTGGCTGCTGGTGCTTGTCATACGTTCAGTGCGGTCAGCTCACCAGTAGTCTGCAGGCCCTTGTGGGAGTCCACTGGCCCCTTAGACTGTATTGGAGCTGAGTCAGGCAAGAGCCTAGTTGGGAGTCCCCCATGAGGCTTTGTCCATTTTGTCACTGAACTGTGGGGGTAGCTCATTTACCAAGCCCTGGGAACCTGCTCTGCCTGGGATCCCAGAGGGCCCGCCATTACTCTGTGAGGTCACTTCATTCAGGTGAGTGCTCTGTGCACTCATTTCTTAGAGTTTCATTCATTCATTCATTCATTCATTCATTCAGGATTCGCTCTGCCCCTCCGACATGCTGGTCTGGGCTGGCCTCCCCCTAGTAGTTCATGTTCTGCATTGGTGGTGAATTGTGTGAGATACTGGTTTCCCTTAGAGTGGTCATCACACCGTTAGTATGTCAGCATCACACCAAGTTCTTCTGGTGACCATGGCACATAGAGGACTTGGAGTTCCTCTCATCTGGGTCCCTGAACCATATGGCCTGGGGGTCCTAATCTGTTACGCCAGGCTGGGAAGTTTCTCGGGGCCACACAACAATGTGAAACACTAGGTCTGCCACACACGGTGCTCAGGAGCTACCACTGCTGCAGCTCCATCTTTTCAGACCGCCCACGCCTCTCCATCTGCTGAGAAAGACGTTAGTGTTTTGCCATTCTGTGTTGCTGAATGACTTAAGGTAACTTCAAGGTGGAATCCAGCATAGGAACCCTATTGAGAGGAGTGCAAGGGTCTGCCTGGCCACCCCAATGTCATCCCAGTTGGGGAACTTGCACAGTTAGAGAGGCAAGTGACGGATGAAAGTGACAGCTCTCCTCCCGTTTCAGCTCTCCCTCGGTTTGCTGGTTGCCGACTTCAGTGCCATGGTCAATAACCCGCACCTGAGTGATGTTCAGTTCCAGATGGACAGCGGGGAGGTGCTGTATGCACACAAGTTTGTGCTTTATGCCCGATGCCCACGTCTCATTCAGTATGTAAGTCTGTGGTAAACACGCTGTGTCTCACGCAGCCCCTCCATCCCCACTTGAGCGTCTCTCCTCACTCTCCCTCCTCTCCCTCTGCCTTTCTCGCCCCCTCCCTGCCCTTCTGCCTCTCTGTTCCTCATCACTCTTTGCTCAGGCCATCTCTCTGTTTTCCTATCCCCCTGGCTCCCCGCTCCTGAGCCACCTGGCTTCTACTCCCCCCAGGCTTTCACCCATCTCGCTTCGCTCCCTGCTCTCCTCCCACTGCCCTAAGCAGTTCGTCTGTGGTCGTCATAAGGTTACACTGCTGTGGAGAAACATGTGTGGGGTCAGGACGCGGTATCAGGAAATGGTGTCAGGCTAGGGAAACGTCAGTTCTTGTTCTCGTACCATTGAATAAAAGTCCTCCTCCCCCGCCCCAGAATTCTCTTTTTTTCTCTATTTGCATAACTAGGGAGACTTATAATTGACGTCTTTAAAGTTGAGCTACTGACAGACATATCTGTGTTGACATGTGTTTGACTTGAATATTGTGTTATTGGAATCCAAGAAATCATTGTTGGTCTCTCAGAAAGTTCTAGTGCCTTTGAAATGTCTTGTCAGAGGGAACCATCTGGATTCTCGAACATCTGTTCCTGATTTGATTTGGAAAACAGATATTTTATGGCTTAAATTGCAGAATTTCTGGTCCACAAAATGGAATGACACTGGCTAGTGCTCGTCCCTGGGCTGAGGCCATTTGTAAGATTAGAGACTCCCAGGACCGCCCTCCCCAAGACCATCTGCTTCGTCCCACATCATGACTGTCCAGTCAGTAAAGCTATACTTTATTGCACCCTCAGGTGAACAGTGAAGGATTCTTCGCTGTAGAAGATGGTGACCTAAGAACCCAGCGTGTCCTGCTGAGTGACGTGAGCACGGAGGCCACGCGTGCGTTCCTGCAGTACCTCTACACTGCAGACACTGGCCTGCCTCCCCCGCTGGCCCCCGAGCTGAGTTCCCTGGCCTGCAGGTCTGCGTTGTTCTTTCCATTTACTTCATGGCTTCTGACATTAACTGACGAGCGTTATCAGGTTGATGGCTCATGGGAGGGTCAGGGCTGAGTCCTTTCTATTCCTTTTAGTACCAAGAATATGCCCAGTGGTGACCTTGAACAAGGCACACTGATAGGAAATCTGGCCAGAAATGGACTCTCGCGGGAAGGCCGAGGCTGCTTGAAGAGTCCTCCTCCGAGTCATGTGGCTTTTAGCTCCCTGGGTGCAGTGAGAGAGCGGCCCTCAGCCTCAGCTCCTCCCGAATACTGCTGCTCCTCAGTTGTTCCAACACTGAGATTAAACAGTGGCAGTTTTTTCCCCAGTCCCAGAAAACAAAAGTGGGTAGGGGGCTTAGTCCACCTCCTGGGAATTTGCACCTACCCAGCTTGTCCACACCCGTATCTCAGGAGAGGTGGCAGGTAGCTCAACAGAAAAACATGTTCTACCTCCGAACAAAGCATGAAGGCCTCTAGAATAAAAAACTTTGTTCATCCCAGGTCATGTCATCCCCCAGATGCATTTTTCTCTCTCTCTCTCTTTTTTAATCTTCATCCAAGGACATGCTTCCATTGACTTTAAAGAGAGGGAAAGATAAACATCGACATGAGAGAGAAACATTGATCGGCTGTCTCCCATACACACTCCGACCAGGGATTGAGCCTGCAACCTAGGCATGTGCCCTGACTGGGAATTGAACCCGCAGCCTTTTGGTGTATGGGATGATGCTCCAACCAACTGAGCCACCTGGCCAGAGCCCTCAGACGCGTTCTTAAGAAAGCATTGGTTCAGCCTCTAGGGTTTCAAATGTACCAGTTAGACCACAGAGCCTGCAAGCAGGTGACAGGCTGGCACACTCATTGGCCTGGGCTAACCTGTGACAGGTTTAGCGGGCTTTGGTTTGCGTTAGTCACAGTGCATTGGATACCCTTCAAGGCAGCATGTGCCCCCTAGTTTCGCAGCACTACCAATTGCTGTTGTCTGCAGTTCAGCCTGATGTACCCCTTCCTGTTTGTGCAGTGGTGTTAGTGAGCCTTGCTTTAAAGTCCCACCAGTCTCTGTTTCTCAAACTGAGTTGCCTGGGGTGTTGCACATGCATCCTAGTTTCAGGAGAGCAGGGAGAAGGCCAGGTCTGTGTCACAGTTGTCCTCCCTGCAGGACTTCCACTCTAATTCTTGCCTGTGCTCGGGGCTCCCAGCTGCAGCTTCTGTGCAGGTGATGATGCTTGGTGTTTTCTGGTGCAGGTTTGGCGTGAGTGAGCTTGCTCACCTGTGCAAACAAGCATCTGTTGTGATGGACTCAGAGGGCAGACAGTGGAAGGAGAAGGAAGATGAGGCTTGCGAAAGCAGAGCAGAGAACTTCCAAGAACTCTTAAGGTCAATATGGGTAGGTGAAGAGGAGGAAGCAGAAGTCTTGTTGAAATCCGAGGGCCTTGAAGAAGATAAAGAAAAGGTTAATGAAGCAGAAATGGAAGAAATTTATGAATTTGCAGCTACTCAGCGAAAGCTGTTCCAGGGGGAAAGAGCTCCAGAGATCGAGGAAGAAACTAACCAGCTTGGGGAAGATGGTCCAGGTTCTGGGCAAATCCTGGCAAGCATCCAGTTTAACGAAAATGCAGAGCAGATGGAATCATCTGGGCAGGGAGGAGATGAGGCCCCCACCAGAAGGAAGAGTGTGGGCCAGTCCACGTTCCTGCCACTCAAGGGCCAGTGTTCAGACGGGGAGGAGGAAGCAGAGGCACTGAAGGGAGCCCTGGAGTGTACCAGCTCCTGTAGCTCTTCTCAGGGCCGCCCGGCAGAGAGAAAGGAAGGATCCTTTTTGTACTCAGTTGATGTCAGTGATTATAAACAGCCCTTTCTATCAACTCCAGGAGGATACCCTGAACCATCTCAAGTAAGTGATCACAAGAGAGGCAACGGCACTATCAGAGAAAGGGTGGGGGAGAGCCCCCATCCCCCCACTTGCCAGCAGGAACCTGCATCATATCCATGCTTTGTCCCATCACAGCCTCCTCCAGGCAGGAGTGCCCGCCAACCGCACCCTCGACCTCATCGCACAAGAGACTTGTCCCTACCAATGCCGCAGTCACAGGGCAGAGCTTCCAGGGTAGCCTCCCAGGACTCACCATCGAAGCAGAAGAGGGGCCAGAGCCTTCTCACACTACGAAACCATTCAGGCTGTGAGAAAGGCAAAGAACATGGTTCCCTGCTGGAGTGCAGAAATAAAGGAGTCTTGATCTCATCAGAAAAGTCTCCATCCATTGACCTAACTCAGGCAAAACCTGGCCATTGGAGCTCCAGATCTCAGAATTCTCCATCCAGTGTGAACAAGGAAGATGAGATTATCCTTTTATTGGATTCAGATGAAGAGCCAGAACAAGAACAAACCAAAATAAAGTCAGTTTTTAATGGCTCCCTCGAAGAGGGGAATGTTCTAGAAGTTAGCCCCAAGTTCTCTGAGCTGTTCTCCATCATTGACGTTGATGCAGATCAGGAACCTTCCCAAAGCCCACCAAGGAGAGACACCCCAGTACAGCAGGAGGAGGGGCGGCTGTCGAGGAACCAGGGCTATGTGAGTGGCAAAGGGACCCCCCAGCTGTTCTGTAGCCCCAAGAGCAGCCCTGACAAGGACAGCACCACAGACACCTCATGGCTGGTGCCTGCCACCCCACTTGCCGGCAGAAACCGCGACTACTCATTTCAGACCCAAACCTTGGGCCTTAGGTCCAGGACATCAGCATATGAAAAGGCTCAGCTCAAGCCCAGAGCCCCGTTAGAAAACAGAGATGGACCCAGAGCCACTAGTGAGTTTTCAGTAATTGTGCCCCACACTTCATCATCCTGCCCAGCCTCTGTCAATCCTAGAAGCCCTTCTAGTCCCTCCCCCAGGAGCCACAAGCACTTTTCTTTGCTTGCTCCTTCTCCAACCTCGGGAGCCCGCACTGATTTCAGTGGGCAGTTCCTGAAGCACTCGCTGCCTAGGCTGAGCCTGCTAAATCAGGCCACAGCAAATGAAGTGGTGGAGGTGGAAGACAGTGAAGATGAGCAGGAGGTGGCTTCCTGTCGGGCGAGCAGCAGCCCTGTGCTGGACAGCGGCACCCCCATTCCAACTGTTGACTGCTGTTGGCATGCTGAGCCCCTCTCACCAATCCCAATTGACAGTTTGAACCTTGAGCGGACTGGCCCCCTGAGTACCAGTAGCCCAGGCAGTAGGGCTGGGGAAGTCCTGGACAGTGGTGGCTGCCACTCCCCTGCACTCCTGGGCACCACCCCCATTCGAGGAAGCGGCCTTGGCATTGGCCGAAGGAAGTCTCAAGAGAAATCCCCTCAGGCCAGTTCCCCTGGGAGCAGCCGGCTGAGCTTCTTGAATTCACGTCTGTGGGATGATTGGGATGGAGAAGAACAGAAGTCTCCAGAGGTTCTTTCTCTGGCCCAGACATCGAGAGCTGATGGAGGTCAGAAATCAGAAGGGTTAGAGAAGCCAAGTGAGTAGTGGAAACAATTGTTTATCTTTTACACTAAGGGCCCAGGTGGAAATCAGTAATGTCAACATGGGTGGCATTGCTGAAAGGCCTGCTGACCTGTGATAAGCCCCTTCCTTGCCTTGCAGACCCCTCTCCACAGTTGAGGGAGAGGACTTACTATCAAACATATACTCAGGCAGTACGTCAGAGCTTCCTAAACTTGCCTGGACCCTACAGCTTACCTGGGCACTTATTAAAAATCCTTGACTGTGGACCCCACTCCAGAATACTGAACCAGCAGCTCTGAGAGGCCACGGTGCACACTTCAGGTGTGCCTTAAGATCGAGCGAGTGCCGTTCCTTAAAAAGTTAAACACAGAATTGCCATTATGACCCAGCCATTCTACTGCCACATATACATCCAAAATAATTAAAACCAGAACTCAACAGATCCTTGTTCCCAAATGTTCATAGCAGCTGTATTCACAATAGCCAAAATGTGGAAACCACCCAAATGTCCCTCAACTGATGGAGTAGATGTATAAAATATGGGCTGTCCAAAAAGTGGAATATTACTCAGCCATGAGGTGGAACGAAGCACTGACACATGACGTAATGTGGATAAACCTTGAAAACACTATGCTAAGTGAAAGAAATCAGTTACAAAAGAGCACATATTGTATGATTCCATTTATACAAAAGAACCAGAACAGTCAAATCTATGGAGATAGAAAGCAGATTAGTGTTTGCCAGGGGCCTCGGGGAGAATGAGGCGCTTGCTAGTTACAGGATTTCCTTTAGGCGGTTCACACATTTTTCAACTAGATAGAGGTAGTTGTTGCACAACAATGTGAAGGTACTAAGTGCCACTGAATTCCTTTAAAATTGTATTACGTGAATTTTATCTCAGTTTAAAAACAACAGGTGGGGCTGAGAGAGGCCTGTGACGGGCCTCAGGCCGTCCTTGGTGGAAGATGCCATTTCCCATCTCATTTCAGTCATAGCGGAGAATCAAAGCACCCAGTGTCGGCCTTCAAGGTGCCGCCCCCTCCGCCAGCAGGCAGAGTGGCACTGAGCAGTCACTAGTGACGGGGAAGCAAAGCTTATGGACAGAGCATCTGCCTGCGACCTGGTGTTTCATTTCCTTTTAAAATCCTACACCAACTGAGCCTCAATGGCCAGCACTTTCAGCCTCGAGTGGGCATCAGAATTGCCTGGAGAGCTTATTAAAACACAGTGGCCAGGCCTCACCCCAGAGTTTCTGCTTCAGAGTTTCTGTCTAGGGTGCGACCAAGAATTTGCGTTTCTAACCGGTTCCCAGCTGGTGCTGTGAGAACCACTGCAGGAGACACTAGACCGGAGGCCTTAGTCTGAATCTGAGGCGGGCTTTATGGGGTGACAAACTCTGAAATTATATAGAGAATTTTGTGCGTTTTTCAATAGGAGACAGAGCCTATTGTTTTCATTGGAGTCTCAAAGGGCTCCCTGCTCATCAAAGGGGTAAGAACCAAAGTCCATCTTTTCCTAATTGTCCCATTTATCTTTAAAATTACCCATTTTTTGAGAGATTTTTTAGACAGAGGGGAAGGGAGGGAGAAAGAGATGAAGAGAAACATCAAGTGTGGTTGCCTCTTGAGCGCCCCCTACTGGGGACCTGGCCTGCCACCCAGGCATGTGCCCTGACTGGGGATCGAACCAGTGACCCTTTGGTTCTCAGGCTGGTGCTCAGTCTTTTGAGCCACACCAGCCAGGGCATGAAAGTACCCATTTTCTTTTTTAAAATAAGTTTTATCAACACATTTTTTACAGACCATAAAATTCACTCTTTAAAATGTACCATTCAGTGGTTTTTAGTATATTCAATATTTTGCATCCATCACCACTAATTCCAGAACATTTATATCACCCAAGATATAACTCCTGTATTTATTTGGTGGTCACTGCCATTGCCCAGGCACCCCAGCCTGTGGCAACCACTCCTGCTACTGCCTCATTCACACAGTATCAGCATTGCACCAGGCTGCCATGGCCCTCACTGTGTGCTGAGTGACGCTTTCTAACAGGAAGACGTGATGCCAGAGTCAAACGGGGAAGGGGGTGGACATTACTGCTTGGAGCAAATGGGACTGGGCTTCTTCAAGTGCATCCTCTTGGTTACACTAACGTTGAAAAAGGTAAACCCAGGTCCCTCCAGCTAAACCATGTGTTTCTCTTGTTCTACCCAGAAGGTGCTAATCGGAGGAAGAACTTGCCCCCAAAAGTACCCATAACGCCAATGCCACGGTATTCCATCATGGAGACCCCGGTACTAAAGAAGGAGCTGGATAGGTTGGTGGTGGTCTTAAAAGCTTGCTCATTAGTGGTCCCCTCCCTTCTGCAAGTGACCAGGCATATTGAGGCTGGGAGTTGGAGGGCCTGCCACCAGATCCATCCTGGGCTGTGGTTTGGGGCTGCTGTAGGGAGAGGGCGTGTGTCCCTGCCAGTTCTTCACATGCTGTTCCCCAAATTACCCAGGCCCCAAGAAGCTAAGAAATGAGACTCCTCCAGGTTACCCATCAGGTGGCAGGTCCCGATATATCACGTGGTTGGAAATGGGACCCTGGCCTTAACAGTCTGAGTAAGGAGACATGATTTTAAGAGATTAAAACTCATAATCTAATGAATGCTACATGTCACATTGGGCCCAGGAAAGTCATCGCCGCCACCATTGCTCAGAACGTGGGGAACAGCCTTTCTGGAATATTCTTCAGAGTAAGTTCAATTGACACTCAGGATAAACACTAATCTCTGAATGGTCATAGAAGTCAGGCATTTAGGATTTCAGTTGCACAAAGCCATTACTTTGTAGACAATCGTTTGCTCTTTGCTGAAGTTCTCCTGTTCTCCATTCAGGTTTGGGGTGCGCCCTCTGCCCAAACGCCAGATGGTCCTGAAACTTAAGGAGATATTCCAGTACACTCACCAGACACTGGAGTCAGACTCCGAGGATGAGAACCAGTTCTCACAGGTGCCTCTGGAGGCTTCTTGCAGCCAGACCCACGCCACCAAAACCACCAAGGGATCAAAGGCAGCAGGCTGCACCAGACTGGAGGCCCCTTCTGACCCTGTTCCCCAAAGATCCAAGGGACCAGCTAAGACCAAGGGCACCCGACATCAGAAGCAGCAGCCTGGTGGAAGCGTCCCTCGCATGTCACCAGCCAGAGTGGGGCCTCTAGGCCCTGATGATGGTGCCCCGCTCCCAGCCTCCCAGGAGTCCATGGCCACCTCTGTGGACAGCAGCGACAGTTCCTTAAGCTCACAGAGGTAACCAGATCAAAGGACAGGGCCAGTGGCTTCATAGGTCCTCTGATCAGTGGGTCTGAGAGTTGGCATAAGCAAAGCCCAATTGCTGATGTTCAGAAACCCCAGTTTTCTGGGCGTGAACTACAGGATATCCAGGTGGGGCTCAAGGGCAGCCCCTGTGGGCTCCTGAGCAGTCCTTCGCAGCTCCCGCATCCACAGCCCACAGGACGCTTCCCTGAGTGGGGCCCGCCCCGTAAGCCACCTTGGTGGGGACAGGACACTGTCAGTGGAAGTTTTTGCTTCCTGCTCAGACGAGATTCTGCTCAGGCTGGCAGCTAGTGTGCCAGGGACACGGCACTGGGGGGGTCATCCATGCCATGCGCAAGGTTTCTCAGGGAACAGAGAAACACTCTTTTCTTCAAAAAAGCTCCTGGTCTTGGGCGGGCTGGAAGGAAGGGGTGTCACAAAATACTAATACCTGGTTCTTTTCAGTTCTTCCAGTGAGTTTGGAGTGGCCTTTGAGTCTATAGAAGACGAGGAGGGTGAGAAGGGGGTCAGTGCTTCCCAGGCAGTGGACGTGGAGGAGGCAGTGAGGTGCTACATCCGCTCCACACCGTCCCTCTACCGCAAGGTCCTGCTGTACCAGCCCTTTGAGCTGTCAGAGCTGCAGGCAGAGCTGAGGCAGCAGGGCATCCGCATGGCCACGGGGAAGCTGCTGGATTTCCTGGACACCAACTGCATCACCTTCACCACCGCTGCGGCCCGGAAGGAGAAGTTTGAGAGGAAGAAGCAGCAGCCCGTGGGCAAGAAGAAGAGGGGCAGACCACAGCGACCGGCCCATTGCCCGCTCCCCTCCCAGGGCTATTAGCAGAGCCCGTGTGAGGGTGTGTGGTCCCTTTGGTAATCCAGGCCTCCACACACATTTCTGGGCCTTGGGACCACATCTGCTCCCCCTGTGAAACTGACGACGGCACTGACTCGCATCAGCTTCCTTCCCACTCTGTTTCCTGGAGTGGGAATCGGACATGCCACCCACTGGATTTAGAGCCCTTGGTTCCTCCCTCTATTGGTGCCTCCTCTTTGTCTCCCTTTAACCCTGTTAGGCCTGTGTGTGTTTCAGAAGGGCAGTGGGCCTCTGCCCGCTGGCCAGGGCGAGGCCTGACTTCGCACATCTTTCGCTTTCTACGTCCGTCAGTTGCAGTCCGTCCATCCCTGAGACAGATGTCCAGCCTGCCCTGTCCTTCCTTCTCAGCACTTGCGCCGTAACCCCAGTCCCCACCAGCAGACTAGGTGTCCACAGGCCTCCTGTTCTGCCGTGCACCAGGTGCTCTGCTGGCCCTGCTGTCCTGCCCAGACACCTGTCATTGTCACCAGCAGTCTCCAAACTGGACAGTGCAGAAGGACCCAGCACAGCTCTGAAGTCCCCAGAACAAGCACGTTCTCTGTGACCTGGTTCGGTTGGTGTGTGTGAAAGCTGCCTCCAGCCTCAGGAGCAGTGTGGGACACGGGTAAGGCCTGGAAGAGAAGAATAATTCAGGTCTCTGCACCTTGTGAATGTCTTGTCTCTTTTAAATACAGTGTAGTTCATTTTATATGATGTGCAATAAAAACAAAAATGCTTTATGAACGAAAACCTTCCAAATTTTCCACTCTAGAGAACTAATGGGGGAAACTGGCCATGAGCTTCACACGTAGCCCCCTGCTGTCAACCAAAGTATGTCTGCGGGAGGCCTTTGTGCCTGTTCCTTATCTCAGGGGGGTAACCCAGGCCTGCCGGTTCCTCATTTCACTTTGGTTCCTCCATAATAGATGTTCATCCACGTTTGTCCATACAGCCACACGACAGTCTGTACCACGTGCTGAGCTCCAGCCCTTACTGCTCAAAGGAGACCCAAGGCCCAGCAGCCTCCCCTGGACGACCACAGACGCAGGCTCAGACCACCAGACCCACTGAGTCAGAATCTGCAAGTTAACAGAACGAGTGTGAGGCGTGCTCTGGCCTGGGTGCAGGGCCCCCGGAGGGAGGGGGACAGGCTGGTGCTTCCATCCATCTAGTGGAGCCTGTCTTTGTGCCCAGCATGAGGGTCAGTGCTCAGGTAACCTGAAGGGATGGCATCCTGGAGAGGGGGTTTGTGAGCCAGGCCTCAGGCACGCAGAATTCAGGGAGGTGAAACGGGGTTCCTTGAACACGTGTGTCCTGGCCTGTGACCAGGTGGAGAGGATCTGGCACCCTGCACGTGTGGCAGCAGGGGCAGATGGCCAGAGGAGCGCCAGTCTCAGGTCACAGAGCTACCGGCAGGTGCTGCGATTAGACTCAAGATGGGGTCTTACCTGGTTTCGAACATGAAGGGCTTGAACTTCCTCCCCCAGTATGGACTGGTTTAGGGAAATGTGGTGGAGTTAGGAGAGTTGGAGGCAATGGGGTCCTTACCCAGCTTTGCTGTCTCATGGTAGAGACCATGGACCCAGATGCAATGGAGACTATGGACTAAGACATGGTAGAGACCATGGACCTGTCCACATGCAGTTTTGGGTGCGCTCCCCTCAGAGAGGCCTGGGAGCCCTTGCTTCTGGGAAGGCATCCCAGATTCTCAGAACATCACCAACTCCAGGCTGATGAGGAGATGCTGGGAAGAGGTTAAAAGAGGTAAGATGCTGAAGGTCAGGAAAGGCTGAGAAGGCAAAGGTTTGTGGCTGAACACCCTGGCTGGTAGGGTTTGCATAGCATGCCCCCCAGAAGCCAGCAGGGGTCAGCAGTGGGCCTGGCCAGGGCTCCAGCTGGGAGTTTGAACCTGTGTGCAAAGCGGGAAGTGGGATGAAAAACCAGCCACTGCAATATAGAAACCGCACAACCAGAGAATCAGTGGTATTCAGGAAAATAACCTTAACCCTTCCATAGAAATTAGACCTCAGAAACTGGGAAATTAGGGCCAACCGATTGGTTGAAAAGGAAAACAGTGGCGAAAGCTGCCCTCTCCCAGCGCCTACAAGAAGGCTGAAGGAGCCAGACCAGCAATGGGCCTTGTGGTGGACAGTGTGCACAGGGTTTCCCTCCCAGAGGTTCTGCCCTGCCAGGAAGGGGACTGAGCACGAGAAGAAAACATACTGAGCCTGAAGCAGTGGAACATCCTCTACTCAGCGAAACTGCAACAACCACACTTTGCTGTGGTGTGAGGATCTCCTGAGCCTGTCCCACTTCCGGTGGCCTCACCATGGTCTGGGCATCATCACTCAAGGCAATTAAAAGAACCACAGCCCAGCTCTAGGAAGCAAGGGGGCCCTAGGGCCCTTCACAACCCCAGCAAGACCCCGCCCCTACAGGCAGGAAGCCTCAAGCTGTTGCTGAGTTGGAAAGGGCTCAGTCTATTGCCTGTCAGGCTGACCACAGCTCTGGGTGAACGGAAAGCCCCAGGGTGAGAACAACCAGGGGGACACTGCCCCAAATGTGCAAACACCCTCAGGAGAGTCAGGAGAAAGTCCCCCAGCTTCTCTTCACAGAGGAGCCAGCAGAGGGGGTCCATGGACCAGCCTTGTCTGGTGGTGGGACATGGCTTAGAGGTTGGGAGGGAAGATCTTAGGCGAGTGCTGACTTCAGGATGTTCCCTGAGACCCCCATTGAGGAAGCTGTCTCCTCTTGTGCTCAGAATCTATCCACTCTGAGTTATGAAGGGAGGAGGAGAGGGGCCTCTTGGCCTCCTTCAGGTGACAGATATCCCCCAGGCCCCTGCGGTTTCTAACATCCTGTGAGCGGCCTCATTTCAGCTGCCTTCACTGCACCTTGAGGATGAGGCTGTAGCAGCCAGTCTGTGCTCTGCCTGCCTACAGCCTCATCAGGCTTCCCCAGGGCAGCCACTGTGTGTCTCCCAGCACCTAGCAAGGTGCTAGGTGCTCAGAAAGCACTGATGGGAGGGGGGCACAGAAGGATGCCCCTGTAAGGAGCACCTCCAATCTGCTGCCTCCGTGTCCTCCCCTCTTTCCCTCCCCTCCCCTCATACACGCAGCTTGTGAGAAAAGGCCAAATACACACACACACACACACACACACACACACACACACACACACACACTTCCCACCTCCCCTTATACACAGGTTGCTGCACGCACCCAAACCCTAGACTCTCCTGCTCTGCAATCATCACCGGTTCCCACCTGCTTGCTAAGGAATATTGAAGCCCCTATTACTTGGCTCCCACCTTGTCACCTGCTTTTCTCTGTGGCTTGCTCCCTGTGGCTGGAGAATGTCCTGCACTTTTCCTCTGTTGTAAGTTTTCTCATATTTTTCACCCTGGGCCATGTCCTTCTGCCTCACGTGTGCCTGTCCCCGCAGCCCGCTTGCTGAGGTCCATCTCTGGGGTCTGAGTGAACTGCCACACTCTGCTGTTTCAGGGTGCAGGTGACCTGCCTTGACTCACAGGAAGACATTATGGGGTATAGCTGGGTTGAAGGTGCCTCTTGGGAGCTAGAAAGAAGGCAAGCAGGGGGGTTGAAGGGGGCGATGAGGGCCCCGGGTAGCAGAGCCTGCTGGTCTAGGAAAGGACGGGGTCAAGCTCCGGAGAGACGAACTCCCTCTGTGCAGCCCTGGGCAAGTCACTGAATATCCTTATTGCTTTCCCTACCGCCCCCCCAAAGCAAAGATTCACTGACAGGGAGCCTGTTTTCCTTCGTGGTTTTCATTACACCACGGTCTCCTGAGCATCACGTCTGCAGGGGCACTGGGTCCTCAGATGAAGACCCTGGTGTCACCCCCTGCCTCTCTGACTTAGGGGGCAGTGATGAAGCCAAGAACCAGCAAAGCAGTCGTGGCTTATCGATTTGCCTGATAGGCTGTTGGCTTTTGAAATCAGACAGGAAGGAGGGTTGAGGCGGAGCCAGCACAGGAAGAGGTGAAGAGCCCTAGCTGCTGTGACAACCGGTGGGCTCAGGGACAGCCGGAGCTAGTGGGCTGTGTCCCTGCTGTCCCAAGCAGGACTTTCCTCCTGCCCTGGACGGATCCTGAGGACTCAGGGCCTAGCCGACTGGCCACAGAGAGACCCAGAACATCCCCAGCACCGCCAGCTGTCCCTGTCCACTGGAGCAGGGCTAAGCCTGGGAGCACAGGGATGGAGTTCCCACCGACCCCCTAGACTGGGCATCTCTGAGGCAATGAGGCCTAGGAGGTAAGTTGAGTCCAGGATGCCTCAGTGAAAGATGAGGGAAGAAGAGGAGATGGCTGGCAGGAAGGGCCATGATTTTTGAGGCTGAGCTGTTCTGAAAGAGGTGGCTGGGGTGACTCCAAGAAGGTGTCCCCAAGGGTGCCAGGAGGTGCTGAGCAGGACTAGTTCACGGTGTAAAATAAACCAATGTGCCCAAGGATGACAAAGAGGACAAAGAGCAGCTTCCTGGGTATCAGTGGTGGGACAGGAAGGGCAGGAAGTAGTCACAAAGCGCTGCCGCAGGCAGGCAGAAGGGACGCTGAGCAGTGCAGCCCACTCGTTACACTGTGGATCAGTACCCCCGAGCACCAGTCCTGCCCCCCCTTCCACCGTGACCTGGAGGTTACCGTGCCAGGGCCACCCCGGGGTCCTGAGGGCCCAGGGAGACCGTGCAGGTGGGGTGGGCTCCGCACTCCGTGCCTGCTCCGTAAATGCTGCCCTCCTGTTGGGTGAGCAGCCCCAGGGGCCTCTGTCAGCCCCATCCTTGGGTGGAAATGGGGTTCGTCATGCTGGGAGGAACAGTCACCACAGAGGCCTTCTCGGAAGAGGCACTGCTGAGCCAGGCCAGGGGTGGCTGTTGGCCATGGGGTCCTCCCCTATGGCCAGGCTCCTGGGGCCCTAGGGTTCTTCCCGGTCCCTTCAATGGAGGCACATGCTTTTCTTGAGCCCAGAGGCTCACTCTTGGCCATCACAGGCCACCGTGTGGCTAACTTCTAGGTGGGAGTATACAGGTCGGGCATCCCTTCCTCTGCCCCAGGGCTGCTGGGCTCCCCAGCACTGAGCCTATCCCCAGCTTCCCACTGAGGCTCCAGGGCCCAGCGCAGCCAGGAGGGCCACGTCTGTGGGAAAGCACCACTCATTCCTCTGGGAATGAGTCTCAGTCAGGAGAGAGGAGCATCCACGAAGCTGTGGCCTGACCTACGACAGCCCAGGCAGGAGGTCATTACTGTGGGCCCCTACAGTCACCCAGTACAGACAGGTGTGCGAGGCAGAAGCCACAGTTAACACACAGGCCAAGCAGACAGCTAGGGCTGAGGCCCCTGGGAGGCAAACATGGGACGAGACAGGACTCATTGGCCGTGGCTGGTGTAGCTCAGTAGATTGAGCACGGGCTGTGAACCAAAGGGTCGCTGGTTTGATTCCCAGCCAAGGCACATGCCTGGGTGGCGGGCCAGGTCCCCAGTGGGGTGTGTGCGAGAGGCAACCACACACTGATGTTTCTCTCCCTCTCTTTTTCATTCTCTTCTCCTCTCTCTAAAAATGAATAAATAAAATCTTAAAAAGAAGATGAGACTCATTGGCAGACTTGATGAGTAAATTGGGACCTGGGTCTTCTCAGAGATGGGGCACAAGCCCAATTGTCCAGCCTTAGGGGCGGGGCCTGAGTGACAGCAACGACAGAGAGCACGTGTCCTTAGCTGTGCCCTGCCCCAAGGATGAAGCTCTGGGAACACGTGAGAATGGGGAGACCCTGCTCCGTGGAAGTGGCAGTTGTCCCCCAATTGTCCATCTGCTCTTGCTCCACACCCTCCAGCTCAGACCCTCTGTAGAGTGAAAGCCTCCAGCCTTTAGATCCCCAGCGGTGACCTGAGGCCCCCTCGCCCTCAGCCCTCCCCTCTCTGAGCTGGGCTTGCAGGGCCTCCTGCTGCTGTCTGCCCTGGACAGAGGCTACCTGACTATCCCTGGTGGCCTGTGGTAGGTTCCACCCTGCAGGGGTGGCATCTGGGGCCAGGTAGGCACCCCATTGAGGGAGACCCCTCATCAGCCTCTGATGCTGGCCCCGGGAGATCATGGGAGTGGGGTGCTTCCTGGCTCACCTGCTAGAGTCTCCTCCTCTGTCCTTATTGAGATAAAGTGTCCAGAGGTAAAGGCCGGATGGGGAGGGGGGGTCTTCTCTCACTGGCGCCTGAGTAGGGGGCCAGATAAAATACAGGACACCCTAATACATTTGAATTGCAGTTAAGCCATGACATTGTTTTCCATCCTCATCCAAGGACAGTGTCTCGTTGCTTTTTAGAGAGAGAGGAAGGGAGAAAGAGAAACATCGATGTGAGAGACAGTTGATTGGTTGCCTCACGTATGAGCCCAGACCTGGGATTGTATGCAGCCCGGCCGAGAATCACACCTGACTGGACCAGGGATCATTCGCACCCGGACTGGGGACTGAACCGGCAACCTGGGTATGTGCCCTGACCGGAAATCGAACCCGCAACCTCTCCATTACAGGATGATGCTCCAACCAACTGAGCCACACCAGCCAGGGCAACAGTGAGATGTTTTTAAAAGTATAATTGTGTCTGCCCAATTAAATAAAATATACGCATGTTGGGGTCCTGGCCCAGACCAATTAAATCTCCAGGTGGTTGTACTGAGCAGCAGCGTTTTAAAAATAGCACTCCATTTTTAAGAAAAGAATGCTCATATGACCCAGCAATTCCACTTCTGAGTATATGTGCCCTAAAGAATTGAAAGCAGACAGTCGAACAGATATTTGTGCACCCACATTCCTAGCTGCATTTGTCACAAGAGCCAAGAAGTGGAAACAACACAAGTGCCCCTTGACAGATGAATGAATAAACAAAATGTGCTCTTTCATAAAGTGGAATATTATTCAGCCTCAAAAAGGAATGAAATTCTGATACACGTTACAACATAGATGAACCTGAAAACATGCTCAGTGAGAGAGGTCAGATGCACAAGGACAAATGCCGCATGATTCCCGTTACGTGTGGCCCCCAGAGCAGTCGGGTTCCTGGAGGTAGAACGGGGTGAGCCAGGGGCCGTGAAAGGGGGTGGAGAGTTAGTGTTCAACGAGCACAGATTTCCATTTGAAAAGATGAAAAACTCCTCAAGGCACATGTTGGTGATGGTTGGACAACGCTGGAGATGCGCTTACTGCCACTAAACTGTACACTTAGAAAAGGTTAAAATGGTAACTTTCATTTATTTTTTTTTCACTTATGAGCATTTAATGAACTCCCCTCCGTGTGGCTTCAAGCTACCAGCACACACACCCCACCAACACTCTTAATCTCCTCAGCCCTTCTGCTGAGGAATTTGCCCTTCAGCGACAGGCTGCTTTGGGAGCGTTCTCTGCCCCAGAACTCTGCAGTGCCTGACCGAGCCACATCAGTGATGGGAGCGGCTCGTTTTTGGCAGCGTTGACTCGTGTCTGCTCACTGACCCAGGTCCACAGTTTATCCAGGTTGACAGTGGGGCAGACGCTCTGGGTCCTCTGTAAGGGGTAGTGCCTCATACCAACTCTCCCAAAGTGACCTGGGTGTTAGTTGTCGAAGTTCATCCTGTAATGATGCAAGCCACCAGCACCACCTCAGCCTCCTGGGGGCTTCCTGTGCTTGCGATGTGGCCGTGGCTGTGGCTCACATTGCCCCGAAGTTTCCGGGTCTTTCTCAGTCTAGATGGCATGTTGGTGACTGAGATGCAAGAGCTACAATGGTAACTTCTATGTTATGCATATTTTAATACAATAAATAATTAAATGAAAAATAGTTCTCCAAAAAATGTCCTGCTAGAGCTGGGAAGCACTGGCTCTTCTTTAACATGGTCTCCTCTTACTTGTGGCCACCACCTTACTGCCACAAACAGCAGCAAGTTTGTTGCTTGGTGGGTGCGCGGGGCCACAGTCCGAGGCTGGGCCATCCCTTCCACCCCCCAGTCCAAGAGTAGGACAGAGACCCTAATGCACTAAGAGGGTGCGATAGCATTGCTTCATTTGGGTTTATGCACATTTAAATTTTTAGATAGTAGCTAGCATAACTTTTTTTTAAATCAAGGTATAACTTACAGAGACTAAAGTGAGGTTAACAGATTTTTATATGTTTTTACACCTGTGTATCCAAGAGCAATATATAGAAGTTCCCAGCACCCTAGAAGGCTCCCTCATGCCCCTATTCAATAGAAATGCCCCCAAGGGTAACTGCTATTTTGACTTCTATCAGCTCAGATTAGATGGGCCTGACTTTAAACACCCATCAGTGAGATCACAGTGTGTTCTCGTTGGTGTCAGACTTTCTTCACTCGACGTGTCTGCAAGGGTCAGCCCTACTGTTGAGTGTATCAGTAGTTTATTCTTTCTCATTATTATATAGGATTTGATTGTATGAACGTACCAAAAGCATCTCATTCATTGTTTTTTAAAAGATTTTATTTATTCTTAGAAAGAGGGAAAGAGAGGGAGACAAAGAAGGAGAGAAACGCTGATGTGAACGAGAAATATCGATTTCTTCTGCAACCCAGGCATGTGCCCTGAGCGGGAATGGAACCAGTGACTGTTCAGTTTGCAGGGTGATGCCCAACTAAATGAGCCACACCAGAGAGAGGCCATTTCATTGTTGATGAACTTTGGTTGTTTTTGCTTTTTTTGGATATTATGAGTAAAGCTTCTATGAACATTCTGGTACTGCGCTTTTGTGGACATAAACATGCATTTCCATTAAGTAAATATGCAGAGAGGGAATCACTGGGTCACAGAAATATGCTTTTTTAGTTTTATTACTACCAAACATTTTTTGAGGTGACTTTAATTTGCATTTCTCTGATGATTAATGATATTCTCTTTTGTCTTCACAGTTTTGGGCTCATTTTTAATCGGGCGGTGTGTTTCTTACTGACTGTGTGGGGGCGGGGCATCTCCTAATCGGCCGTTGCAGGCTGTCTTCCAGTGACAGGTGTCCCCAGTTTTAATGAACACCAACATATCATTCTTTCCTTTCATGGTTATTGCTTTTTGTGTTTCATGTAATTTTCACCTAACCCAAGTTTGTAGAGATATTCTCTTGTATTTAAGCTTTATTGTGTTGGCATGCACATTTAGAGCTATGACCCAGCTTGAATTAATTTTTATGTATGATATGAGGTAAGGGTCAAGGTCGACTTTTCCCATAGTAACATCTCATTAGCCAGCACAGTTTAATGCAAAGTCATCCTTTCCCTGCTGAATCTCAGTGGAGCTCTGTTGTAAAGCAGGTGCCGGTCCATGTGTGGGGCTCTTTCTGAGCTTCTCTGTTCCACCACATTGGTCTCTCTGTCTGCCCTGGGCCCATACCCGTAGCTCTAGCTCAAGTCTCGATACTGTTTAGTGTAAACTCTCCAGTGTTGTTCTTTTTTAAATTTTGGTGATTTCAGGGTCTTTTGCATTTACCTGTATGTTTCAGAATCAGCTTGCCAATGTGCCCCCTCCCCTTCCCCCGAAAACAGCCTGTTTGGATTTTTCTTGGGATATTATTCATTCTATAGGTTAATTTGGGAAAAATTGACATCTTAATAATTTGGAGTCTTTCAATCCATAAACATGGTAAATCCCTCCTTTAGGTCTTCTTTAAATCCTTTGGTGTTGTTTTACAGTTTTCAGCGTAGAAGCCTTGCAAACTTTTTGTTAGATCGATCCCTAAATATTTGACTTTAAAATAGTACTTTATTTTTTTTTAATTTTTATTTTTTTAGTTGATTATGCTGTTACAGTTGTTCTATTCCCCCCTTCATTCCCCTCCACCCTACCCCCATCCCCACTATTACCCCCCCTTTAGTTTATGACCATGTGTCTCCAGTCCTTTAGATTCTATATTTCCCATGCTATTCTTGCCCCCCCCATCTATTTTCTTTCTACTGTCTATGCTACTTATTTTCTGTACCTTCTCCCCCCCATCTCCTCCTCCCACTCCCCTGTTGCTAACCCTCCTTGAGATCTTCATTTCTATGTCTCCACTCCTGATCTAGCTGTCCTTTTAGTTTGCTTTCGTTTTAGGTGTGGTTGTTAATAACTGTGAGTTTGTTGTCCTTTCACTGTTCATGTTTCTTTAACTTCTTTTTCTTAGATAAGTCCCTTTAACATTTCATATAATAAGGGCTTGGTGATGATGAACTCCTTGAATTTGATCTTATCTGAGAAGCACCTTATCTGTCCTTCCATTCTAAATGAAAGTTTTGCTGGATAGAGCAATCTTGGTTGTAGGTCTTTGGATTTCATGACTTGGAATACTTCTTTCCAGCCCCTTCTTGCCTGTAAGGTCTCTTTTGAGAAATCTGCTGACAGTCTGATGGGGACTCCTTTGTAGGTGACTGTCCCCTTAGCTCTTGCTGCTTCTAGGATTCTCTCCTTCATTTTAATTTAGCCAAAATTAAAATTATGTAATTTAATTATGTAATTATTAAATTTAATGTAATTATGATGTGCCTTGGTGTGTTCCTTCTTGGGTCCAACTTCTTTGGGACTCTCTGAGCTTCCTGGATTTCCTGGAAGTCTATTTCCTTTGCCAAATTGGGGAAATTTTCCTTTATTATTTGTGCAAATAAGTTTTCCACTGGTGGCTGTTCCTTTCCCCCCTTCTGGTACCCCTATAATTCGGATATTGGAGCGTTTAAAGATGTCCTGGAGGTTCCTAAGACTCTCCTCATTTCTTTGAATTCTTGCTTCTTGACTCTTTTCTGTTTGGCCATTATTTGCTTTCTTCTGGTCCACTCCATTGATTTGAGTCCCAGTTTCCTTTTCATCGCTATTGGTTTCCTGTGCAATTCCGTTCATTTCAATTAGTTTCGCCTTCATATGTTTCTCTAATTTGTGGCTATAATCAACCAGTTCTGTGAGGATCCTGATCACCAGTGTTTTAAACTGTGCGTCTGAGAGTTTTGCTATTTCTTCATTGCTTAGGTCTATGGGCTCAGGGATTTTGAGAATTTGCAACATTTTTGGTCTGTTCTGGCCCTTTAAGTGTGAGAAGCGGCGCCTTGGACTCCCAGGTCGCTGGGTTGCTGTATGTGGGGGCGTGGTCAGAGCGGGGAAATGGCGGCGCCCTCTACTGCCGCTGGCCGCAGGGATGCTGGGCCCCGGTCCAACCGCCCACTCCCTCGCCTGTCTGCTCGTGCACAAATAGGCGACCCCAGTCAACACGCAGCACCGCTTCCCCGCTGTCTCCTCCGCGGTCGCTCGCCTGGTCACTCGCTCGGTCGCTCACTAGGTCCAACCCTGCGCCTGGATTCTGAGTCTGGATTCCGCGCCTGAGCCCGTCTGACCGAGTCCTCCTGTTCAATCCCGCTCCACCAGCCACTGGTTTCGCCCCTTACCGGTCAGGCTGCAGAATTTGTTGTTAACGGACTTCCGAAAAGTTCAATTTTCCGTGTTCTGGCTGTGTTTTGTGTTGCTAATATTTAGTTGTCCCTAAAC